GCACGTCAGTGATTATGAGGATTACAGATCCTCATAATCAGTTGCAATTTGTTGTTGTTCTCTTCATTCCACTTTGTCATAACCATCCCGTCTACGTCCGCTCCACCATGTGATATCGACTGTGATTGTGGCTTCTTTTACCTTTTAGTACATGTATATAAACCTGTATATATGGCCTTGCTTTGTTTCAGTTTATAGCATAATTATGCTTTCAATATATATTCATCTCATCTATTTTTATTGCCCTCATTTCCTCACCTCAGTACCTAATTTTTGTTTTCTTTGCAACACGGCTTCCTTATGTTGTAGTCACTTTTACTTCAAAGACATAGTTAACGATAAATATGGCTTATGACATATCCAGTAAGATAAATCAAAGGGCCAGTCGTACACGTCACTCGACGCTGTGAAGTATCAGCGATGGTGAAAGGCGCTCTGTACAGTGTTGACATGAAGTGGTCAGCTCTTAGCGCCATTGCGACAACTGAAATTATGTTCTAATATCCATTCCGTGTAAGTCATGGGAACGTGGTCTAGCCTTTAGTTTCTCTACTTGGGAAACCATATTTTTCTCGGAATTCTCTCTCTTTTCACTACCGATGTACTTTTCCAAACCTATATTTCCACTTTTAGAATGAAAAGGGGTATCCGAAATTTATCATGAACCGTGCCTTCGAAGCCACTCATCTACCTTACATCTATTAGTGTTTACGGTTTTCTCCTCAATGACCTGTATTTGTTCATAGTTCTTAATAGTATTGATTGCTGGTGCAGTCATTTTAGTGCTAATGTTAGTATACCTGTTTTTTAGTCTGTTTCTTAAAAGATTTGACTTATGTTAGTTACACATGCAATATCAATGTATAAGTAACTATAATTCCTCAAAGGAAGTGTAGATTACGCTTTTCATGCCTACCAACAAGATTTCAATAAGAAAATTATACTGTAAAGGAAAATTGGGAGACAGTGGCTTAGCAATTAATCAAATAAAGATCACCGGTATAGAAATTTTGTCTTGCGATGCGATTTTATACGCTTTGATCTGCAACCGGCAAAAACAAACTTCTTCAGTTTAGATACAGATCAGGATTTTAACAAAATACAACAACAAGTCAACGATAAAACAATAATAAGTGAAATGAGAAGAAATAATATTGTTAACACTTGAACGAAACTCATCCCGCCTGTTTTTTATCGACATATGCCGATTCTGCATGCATTATACGTCAGTGATTAGTTAACACAAGAAAATTCTGTTGCTACAGCTATCGTGTATTCATTTCTTATGTATCTACGTATCAAATACAATGAACGAGCAAATAAGATAAGAACTAATAAAGCTAACATTCAAGAAGAACTCATCACGACAGTATTTCAACGACATACACCGGCGAAATCCACATTCAAATTAGTTGACTTGACCAAAACATACTGAACGCATGATACTAACATTGTACAAACTAACATCTTTGAATATATACATGGAGAAGTTTAAAACAAAAAGAGCAACACATGGCATTACTAAAAAGAAACTCAACACCCTCACATTTTCAGGGGGAAGCGGGAAAGAAAGGAAAGTACATTTTTCAAAAACACATCAATGACCCCAAATGAAGAACATACATTGCAAATTAAGAAAACCGTACACTTTACCGTAAAAACATTAATATAAACAGGCTTATTCACCTTTTCGTCTCGGCGAATTGAATATATAGAATAATTCAGCCACTTAACAGCACGGGACTAATTATGTTTAGCAAAGAAAGCAAAATCAGCTGTTTTGGTGTATTGTACTTGTTGGAGCTCCCACAAGGGTTGCTTTCATAGTCCCCTGGCCGGCGCTCGCTCGATCCGGCTGGCGGGCTATGAAAACAGCCAAACACTTCATCCTCGCCTTTTTTCCACCTCAAACTCGTCCAGCATCGTTTTTTACTAGTTTTTTCTCTCATCTGTTTCTTTTTATATGCCGTTTCCTTCTCTCCTTTACCGTTGAACTACTGTAGGCCGTACCTTTCATTATCCGTCAAACTGCGGATACCCTAGAATTATCGTGAGCTGTGCCTTTAGTTGTTCCTTTTCGTGTTGTCTTTTGTAATAAAAGCAGAGTGACTTCACCCACACAATTCATGTGGAAAGGAAGCAGCGACAAATAACTTTGCAAAGTGTAGGTGGAGAATAAATACATAAGGAATGGAACTTCCTCTATGATGAACCCGTCAGAAAATTGAGGAACTATACCGCACAAAGAAAGATTCCCAAATCAAAGGGCTATTTGAAATGAGACTTTATCATTAGACATAGTCTCGGACGGCGATCTGCGGTCGGCGATTCCAAATCTGCCAAGTTTCCTCCGAACACAGTCATGGAATTGGTTTCAGGTGAGTGCCTAAGATAAACGAACCCAAAATCTGAATTGTGCTTTCTCAACGATTTCTTTAAGCAGTGGTAGGCATGATTATGGCTTAACATGCATGATACCATTTATCGGGTTTTATGAGCGGCGACCTTTGTAAGGCTTTTTCCTCAGGGCGAGAGAAGATTTGTGTGTTAATTTTCCCACATGTAGCTACTTCTTCATGGCTTGAGGTGATTCGTTACCTGGATAATCCAAACTAAATCGCGTTCCTTGCTTGCTCGCGCATGTCACCTTCATAGTAAACCTCTCAAGGTACAGTTCACGACAATTTTGGACGATCCAGTTGAAAACGAGCAATGGAAGTGATAGTCCAGAGTAGTGCCAAACGCGAAAATTTGCGTATAAGGTAAACATAAGGCTTAGAAAAAGTAATACTGAGGGTTGGACGAGAATGTTACCAGAAAAGCTGCATGGGAGAGTATTTGGACGAATGCGTTCGAATACGCAACCTGCGTGCGAGGTGCGAGGTGTGGGCCCGGGCCCGCTGCGAATGGTGCAACCTCTACCGCTTTTCTAAGGCTTGACAACTCGTCGGCCTTAGGGGTGTAGCCGACCATGCCGGCTGTGGGGGACCCCATTACAACTTATTTTGACTGTTTTTCGACCCGAGAGCGACCCTTGGGCTGCCCTTGGTATCATAGACTCATTTTAGGGGGAAATCTCAACCATTTTCAATGTGGACTGTACGTTCAAGAAAATATGCAATCTACGATTTCTGAATTGAAGAGGCTCGAACAAAACAGAAAAGATCAGTCTCAGCTACCACCCTTCACAATTATGCCTTAGCTTTTCTCACATGGCCACGTAGATCAGACTTTTTTCGTGGCGACCCAGATCTGTTGTGGAAATATTTTACTATTTGGAATCTACTTCTGAAACAGGTTTCCGAGTAGTTGTAACGTGGCGAAGCGTGCTGGCCAATAACCCAGAAGTCAGTGAATCGGAACCACTCGCTGCAAAGTTTTTTCTGCACAGAAAATTGAGCATACATTATAGGCCTTCAACCGGAAATCCACATTTATGTCGTGCAGCAGCGTAGCGCAGTAGGAGCGTGATGGGCCCACAACTCAGAGGTCGGTCGATCGAAACCTCTCTCTGCTAATGTTTTTTCTAAACAGAAAATTTAGCACTGACTACAGGTGGTGGTATGGGAGATACGTAGTTCAGGCCTTCGAATGGTAAACCCTTAGTTATGGCATGAAGCAGCGTGGCGTAGTAGAAGCGTGCTGGGTCCAGCTGGTAGATCCCTACTTATGGCATAAAACGTGAGAGCGGATGTTCTGGGAATTTGGTTTTCCTTATGGTAGTCACTTAATAATTGTAAGTCATTTTAAGTGCAGACATTATAAAGGCTGTACGGAAATTTTCAACCTGCTATATGTTCACTACGAGAAAATAGCTGTATGCACATGTGAAGTGTAGTTATCAACATTCGACGTGGACTCCCTTGCGCTAATCCTTTCCCAGCTGTTATTTTATGTTCTCTGAAGAAATGAGTTGGTTGCAGACCGGTCAAAAGGTGTTTGTAGAAGAGCGGGAGACAAGACATGCCGAGAAACTGCACGAGTACTCCCGAATACCATGGGATGCAGTCTACAATGTAATGGTACGCCGCGAATTTTTTTTAGTCAAGAAGTTCTGCTTAGTTGTGACTTCTTGCGGCATTCCTATGCGTCAGACTCATTTCGGACTGCTAGTATTATCGTGGGAAAACTCATATAACTCATATATAAAATGCAAATGACAACTGACAACAAACGACAACGGATGCTATTCCAACACATCTGATTAACTCACCAGTGTAGCTCGGTGTTTTCGTTTTTCAAAGGAAATTTTAAACATGAGCATATCACTAAATCGGGCGTCACCTTTGCCTGGTTTGGAAATATGCTTCGTTGAAAAATTCACTAATTTTCCTCTGGTTTCCGCAATCTCCAATTGTTACTTTGGGCTTGGGGTTTGCAAAATTGTTCGATGGCTCTTTGTGTGTAATGTGCAGCTGAAAGCATATAAAAGTTCCAAAAATAAGGATGACAAAGACCACTCATAAAGGAAGCGTTTGCATTCTTGACCTTAAGTTTCGCTGTCTGTCACTTAACCTTATATCTAGCCTTTCAAGTACAGAAGCTGAAGAATATGACACATACGTGCTGTAACGAAAAACCATGACAATCGTCCTTAGAGATGCTCTACATTTCTACTTTCTTTTCATACCACTGAGTCCTGTGATCTGAGGGTTTCTTCGTATTGGCAGGCATACTGAATTTTCAGACAATGGGTAAAATTGGAAGCGTTGCCAACATTTCCGATGACTGGCAATCAGCAGTAGTGCGATTCTACCTCTGGTCACGCAGTGATGAATATGGAGTCTTCAGTGAATGTCAATTGGTGAGCGTACTAATGTGGAGAAGTTTAGTCAACGTCAACTAATAGCAGGAGCCTGGTGAAAAAAGGCAAACTCCTGGTTCGTTTGCAGTTCGGAATTAATGGCTGTGTATATATAGTGTATGTAATAGCATAGTGCACGTGTGTGTATGTATGTATGTATGTTGTATGTGGTAGTATGTATGTATGTATGTATGTATGTATGTATGTATGTACGTATATTTGTATATATGTTTGCATATATGTATAAGCATATGTAGTTGAAGTATATGTTTATGTATATATGATTAATTTTTCCGTAATGTTATGAGAGACTGTCAGTATTCAGATGGCCATTGACGTCATGTGGCACGCTCGAGCCCTTCGACCAATCTATCATATTCACTTCGAAGTGGGAGATCACGCCGTATTGGAGCAATCCAGCGATGATGGACACAATGTCTGATTATATTATATTACATTTGAATTATAATCGGGAGAACTTCCAAAATTCTATGTGTGCAATCGTTCGTAACAAACGTGAACCCACCTCCGCATGGCTTTACAGATTTAGGACCTTCATCTGGTCACTGTACGGTCGATAATGAACTATAACCCGGATGGACAGCTATTTTGTCTCGAATCGATAAGCAAACAAGTGTTCTTCTGGTCTCAAGAAGAGCGCACTGCCGACGCTTTACTTCCCATCTACACCGGTCAGTGAGCATTAACTTGGCTGATTAGATTATTCTCAACCCCCGCATTTTGGGAACCTTCTCTAGTATCTCTTCACGTCACGGCTCATTACGCCTCACATAATCTTCATAATAAATTTGACATTTTTTTAGAGAGCGATTTGGGGCCTATGTCCCGTGTGCTACGCGAGAATACTGATCCGTCCATCCAATCATGTGCTTACCGACTACGTTACGGAAACTGTCCAGCTTCTGAAGGCTCTCAACTGATTACCGCAGTTGTCAACTGGAATAAAAACGATGGCGGTGCTGCTCACTTTGCTTATGTGGCGCAAAATCACTTCGAACAGGTGGTTTTGGAAAATGTTCCTGAGCCATTATCAAAACAACCTGCAACAGTAGCTGTGTTTAATTGAATTTCAATGGGGATTGATCTCATGTTTAGTATCCTGCCTCAAAGGCACAGCTCACGATAAAAACAGTTTCTGAGATTTCCTTATAGCATGAATTCGAGGCTTCTCCTTGTACCATACCTGCCATATGAGGGGCGAAAAACGTCCTGGATAGAGCACAATGAGGANATGTGACACGCAGGTATCCTTCTCCACTTTTTCCCAGCCGTTCTTCAGCACTTGCATTTTAGGATTCCAAACTGGGACTGCAAACTCGACAGGTACTCTTCTAATCAGGGACCATTCGTGGGAGTCAAGTGAGTTATGTTCTGGAAAATAGGATGACCATTGCTCCTCACCAATGAGGTCGCGCAGCTGTCGTCGGCACCACTCGCGGACAAGCTTGGCTCTTTGGGCTGGAGTAGCGTCGTGCTGGAAGGACTAGGAGATGTTTCAGAAAACGTAGTCGGATCAGTGCTTCATTACTACCATCAGTACGCTGTTTGAGTCCTGGTCTTGGTCAATTCTCACGCCTGCACCGAAGAAACCACGAGCGGCTAACCCCCGCTAGTTATTTCCTTGAAAAACAACGTTTCACTGCTCTTATAGCAACCTTTTTGTGAGATATTGCACGCTAGATGTTCCTTTCCGGAACGCGCACGTTTTGGTTGTTGAGGGATGGTTTTATCGTAAAAAATTTTCGGCCAGAGAAAACGACGAAGGGTCGCGTGTCATCACTCGAGTGGGTCTGCGACTTTCTGCATTTTTTGGCCCTGCAGTATCTGTTGAGATCGGAATTGAAGCAAATTTCTGCATACGATAGGAATGGCAGTAAAGCTTCTGCATGACGGCCTTCCATCGCGATAACTCCAATAAGTCCCGTTGACTCTAATACTCCCGTTGACTTCCTTCTGATGGGTCACCCAGGATCCCGACCGATTGGTAGAAGGACCATTTTAATAGTCCTATCTTCAGGAACATTCTACCTTTCTACCTTTCCTGAACTGTCTCTGATTCATTCTTCTTTCCTACATCGTTTAATAGCCTCCTATACGGTTATTATAAAAAATCCCAAGGAATTTCATAACGCCCTTCCACCTCTCTCGTGCCAATGATTGCAAGTGGCATTGAATGAGCCTCCTCCATCAGAAAGATATTGGAAGTTCCACATCAGTAACCATGCATATTGCAAGGAAACCTTTTAATGCAACTAATTATTAACAGGTGATGTGAATTTGATAAATTATCCCTACCTTAGTATTTTCTGAATTTTGGCGCCAATAATTTTGGGACACCCTGTAGAGGCTGCACCATTCATGAGAGAACCAACGTAAGAAGTTCAAACGACCTGTCATGACCAATAGCGGCAGTGAAAGGTAGTTCTGGACAGGTCCAAAATCTCCTTACATGCCATTCCTGTTGCGGTGATCTCGTACAGACTCTAGTTCCACTATTTTTGAAAAGATTGAAGTAGGCGTATTTTCGCGCTTCCTTCGCCCCGATGTAATTCTCTACATCAATACGTTCGCTTTTCAACCTAAAAAGGTACCTCAAAATTACCGTGAACTGTGCCTTTGAAGGCACAGTTCACGCTAATTTGGCCTCTGGTATTTTCTCCTTAGTATGAGGGATAGCACAAGTTGCGCTGTCGCTTCCAAAAACGGCAGTCGCAGTCATCATCATCAATAAGAGCTTACATTCCCTATGGTTATTAGAATAACAAAACTTCCCCTAACTTCTGATGTCCACAACAAAGGTTGACCACACTGGCAATGCAATTATTCTTTACCATCTCCCGAGCTTTCAAAAATGTAAGAAAATCCAACCCTCACATACATGTAATTTTGCCCGTTTCGTTTTAAGTTGAACAGTGCATCAGAGAGCGGATACACTCCGCTCATGTGCGCCGTAGCAGATGGAAACTGGACAGCTACCGTAGCACTCTTGTCGCTTGGAGCTCAACGTGACGCTACCGACGCGAACGGAAACACCCTCTTGCATATAGCAGCGGAAAGGTGATCAAATATTTGTTTTTCATCGTTTTCGTCTGTCTGCTAACATTGGTTCCGATTATTGAACCTTCTAGAAAGCTGTTTGCAATGATCGTCGTCATTTTTCTTTTCGAATATTCAACAATTTTCTATTCAGGGAACGGGGGAGGACTATTCAGGGAAGAAAAGCTTTCTTCCTTGGGATCATTAAGGTCGTTCTTATCTGAGATCTTCATTAAGATCTTGTCTGGCAACATTGATAAAGGCTTTGCGTGAAGCTAGAGAGAACCTAATGCAAGACATGGAGAGTAAAACGAGCTTCTAAGTTGTACACTCCACGATGTCCATTGACCGCATGAGGAGTTGAGAAAGGATTGGATTATTCTCTTCAGTCATACCACCTCCTCCACCTTTCTTGAATCGTTGAGTGAGTTGTGTGCGTGCGCGGTGAAGTGTTTCTGTATACTTGCAAGTATATCTATATCTGTGCAATCAGGAATTTGTAGTTGTAATTCGGTACGGGCCTTTGCTATGATTCTCGGATATTTGAATTGGTAAGGACACAAGTTACAGTATGGGACCAATGTACTTAACCAGTGCTCACCAGGCAGTGACAACATTCGATATGCGTTATAGGTGATGCGGACTGTAATGAGGTTACAGAGGCCTTATTAGAGAATGTGTATTGGAGTTCGCCGCACTTAGGAGTGACGTTCGTGTGGGGCTTTGTAAAAAACTTACGCGACGCTCACTTTCGCCCTTTTTGCCACGTGGGATGTGTGCCGTGACTCTCGCAGTCCCTACGCTGCTCCTGCACCTGACCGGCGCGATAGCGCTTCCGCCACTCTGCCCGCATACGGTCCAACCCATGCACAACCTGATTATTTGGGTTGAGTCAGAAGTCCTCGGAGAAATTGACAACGATTACATTAATCCTACAATTTTCAAGCGAAAATTGTGAATTATTCGAAATGTGCCCATTGGTGTCGATGCCTGCCAACGCTTGGGCATATCGAAGATGCTCTTGCTCCAGAACGCTGAAGGCTGACCCTTGGAGAACTGCTCGAGGGCCGTTTCGATGCCGTTTTCAAGTCTTGATCATCCAGATGACGTTGAAGATGGGAAAAGTGTGTTAACCCAAAAGAGCCAAGTCTAGGGAATATAGTGGGTGTGGTGAATTTGTCCAACCAAAATTCTTAGTTCAGTCTTGGCGTTCTTGCAGTGTGCGGCCGAGTGTGGTCGTGCTGGAAGTAAACTTTGAGCTGTGTGATGCTATAGACGTGTAGCTCAGAGATTCGCCTTCAAATTCCTTAGTTGCTTAGTATAGCAGCTGTCCATCCTTCGTCTAGCAACTCCCAATGTTTGACACCATGAACGCTCCACCAGATGCAGAGCACAACCTTCTTGGCGTGTACGTTGGGTTTAGGGAAGCCTACTGCAACCGAACTTCTGTCAATCCATTGAGTACAGGCCGGTGAACGTTAGAATAGAGAATCCACATCTCATCCTCGATGACTAGGTGCTCGAGCCACGTGTGGAAGGCGCTAAGGCAGCGCTTGAGCGCGGAGAGAAAGTGCTATGTCGGGGTGGCAATCCATGTCATACGTTTCAAGCATGAGGCACCCATCGACTGAGCTCTCGCACCTTGCCGATCGGCTTCAATCCACGAACAACTGTGGACTGACTTACCCCAAGAGTCACTGCCAGTTCACGTATAGTTTGATACGGATCATCCAACTCCATTGGTCGTTTCGGACGGTCTTCATCTTCGATGAACAGTTGCCCGATGCGAACTTCGGGTGTCATTTGTAAATTGCGCTTCTGGCAGGGGCGTCCACCTTGCAAAATTCCATCATACGACCATCGACTCCAGCGGGTTCTTGGCCAGATAAAAGGGCATGGTTACAGGAACGGAAACACTTAGATGTGTTCGTTAGACTGACGGTGCCTTGCGCTGCCTTATGAGACAGCACGCACGCGAAAAGAAGGGTGGGTGCGTTTACTACGCTCGCTCTGCGGAAAATCGCTACGCGGAGGAACATAGCGTTACGGCGATGACGTGCTTATGCGGCAACGCTCCCTACGCGGAGAATAGCTATGCGGCGGCAAACACGCGTCTACAAAGTAGTGATCTGACTAAAGGCTCGCAAAAAGAATACTTATGCTGCAGTGAGCGCGCATATGCACGGCAACAACTACGGGAAGGGAACCGGGTACGTCACGGCGAACGAGCACAATATGGTAACATTCGTACGGGGGGAAACGTGGCTTGGGACCGCTCAGCGTCTTCGGCATCTTTATCCGATTTGATCACTACCTGTTGATCTCATTGCATCATCTTCTCGACTTCAAACAAGCTCCGCAGTAGTGAGCAGACTCGACGGCGGGAGCCATGGAAATGATGTTACATAGGCCATAGCACGCATCTACTCTGGCCGACGCGCAGAGCGCCGATGCGCAGTTCGCGCTGGGTCCCTCGCGTGCCCGACCAGGCGCGGTCCTTCAAGAAGCCATGACACTGGTGACGACAAAAACAAAAATAAAGGTAAGCAGGAATTTACTGTTATACTGCACACAACCAATACTATTTATCACCAACTTTAAAGGAAAAGGGTATCAAAGTATAGTCGTAACATAATATGTAGTCAATCCAAACAAAACTATGGCAAGAAACGCAGTATACGGACCTTTGAGCAATATACGAAAAAGACTGATATCCAAATGGCGTGCCTTCTCGGCCTAGCACGTACACCTTGCGTGCTTGTTTGGAGGAAGCCAGTGGAAATACCGACGGACGCTTCGCAGGCAGACCGGATTACTACATATGCACCAACACCGCAGACGCTGACTTTTTAGCTTCGAATAAACTTATGAGCACTTTTTAACGCCTTGATGATTGCATTCGCCGCGGAAGCGAAAGCGAAAGTCGAAAGTGGGTGGAATTTTTAGGCTCCAGCGAACTGATGACGGCGCGAATTTTCAGCGGGTGTAGTTGCGAAATTGATTTTGCTCCGATTAAAACGTCTCACAATCACGTAAGAGCTGTTAACGTCAGCAGTCTTTACCCTATTGCCAGGTGTACTTTACCCTGATGTAATTTTGGATGAGGGCATACGGCCATAACCCTGCTGAAGCTTTTCATCCGCTACGATGACAACGTACCCAGTTTGCGGTGCTAATTTGACATATTTGACATGGCGTACACGGGCTTGTTGGTGCTCCCGCATTGCGAAGAAGTACTTGGTGTGCCAGACTTCCCAGAACTGGTCGAGAGGTAGGGTATCTCCTCTGCAACTTTGTGGGAGGTGTTGCAAACGAGATCTATGTGCGAGGGTAGAGGTGTAGCTGGATGCCAACGGCTAGACAGACAATAAGTCATCGGAAGGGCAACAAAAAATGGAGTTGTCAAGTGCAACTTTGAGATGTGCTGCGCGCGTCGTCATGAATGTAAACAAGCTAATTCACAGTCTGTTGGAATCAGCGTGCAGACTGCTTACGTTGAGTGGGCCGAGATAAGCTACGCCTAAGATCTGGGAGGGTCATGACTTTTTTACCCTTGTTAACGGTCTGATCGACATTAGCTGATACATATTGTGTTCTTTGACGGCCCTTCCTGAGGTCGTCACATTTAAGAGCTATGACTTTGTAAAATATGCTCCGATAGAAGGGCCTAGCAACTCCGTGGTTCCTTTATTCCCTTCTTACTACTGATTTTATTGATTTGATCCACTCACGACTTACCTCGTGTGAAATCAACAGGCACATAAGCTAACCACCGAAGAAATGTAACGCAAATGGCATCAAAACACAAGGTATTGTGATAAAATAGTGAGGTGTAGGGTAACGAAAAATACAAATGCAAAGAGAAAGTAAAAACAAAAAAATTGGAAAAAACCCAGAATAACTAACAGTACAGCAGATGAGCCTAAACAATGTTAAATATTGGGTCGCCAGTCTTTTGTAGTGAGCGTATGGTTCAGGTGCTCCACGCTGCCTCACAATTTTATTAAACTCCATACCAGCGCGGTGACAAAAAAATGGCCTCTATACCCAGACTCTGGTCGGAGAATAAAGACCTTGATACCTCCATCACGGGTACGAGAGTCGCCTCAGGAAAAAAGTTTGTGTTTATCTTCTGAAACCTTACCAATAATAATTTTGTGTAGTAAGATCGAGTCATGTTTTTTCCTCCGTTTCTCAAGCGTCTGGAGGCCGAGAATCTTATTCCTAATCGCACTGTTAGGTATTGCCGAAGAAGTCCTTCACATAAACTTGAAACGTTCGAGTAGTGAGAAAATTTCGCAGCCACTCAAGTAGAGTACCATGGACACCAACAGTTCCCAGCTTATAAAAAAGTTTACTGCGTGACACTTTGTGAAAAGCTTTCGTGAATTCAAAATATACGACATTACCTTTTTTGGCATCCATACATAACGTCCACTCGTTAAAAGCTTCAAGCATTTGGCTCACGGTGGATTTCTATTTAAGAAAGCCATGCTGATTAGGACTGATTATTCGGTATTTTTCAAGACGATCTGTGATTCCTTTCTTGATAATCTTCTCAAGCAAGCTGACAATAACCGACGTAATACTTGTACGCCTGTAATTTCTCACTATATCGTAAGGGGGTTTCTTAGGTATAGGGGTGACGCAAGGATGCTTCCTAATGAGTGGTACTTCACCATTCATAAAAGATAGATTCATAATGTATTTAAGAGGGCCGATAACAACACTTGATGTGCGCTTCAAGAAATAAAGAGGTACTCCCTCTGGGGTTAGCGAGCACGAATTGGGCCACTTCAGGAGGCAGTTCAAAATTTCCTCTTTCTGAATCCAGGGCATTGACCCTTTAACGGGAAACGAGCCTGAGAAGGAAAAACAGGATGATGATGCGGAATGGTCTGCCAGCAACTCTGCTTTTGATTGGTCAGAAAAGGCGAGATTACCTTCAGAAATCTTAAATGAGCAAACATCACCACGACCTTTAAGCCTAGAGATATCATCTTATGAAGTCGTTCATGTTACGTGAAGCAATCACCTCTTTTCATTCGTCAAATCGTACCTCATGAGCTTTTTATGAAAACAGTCCCTCAGGTGCAGGTAATAGTTCATGCCATTGATCCTTGCATACGACTGCACTCTCCCAGGCATGGAAGCATTTCTTCGACAGCCTTGTAAGGTATTCAGGGAACGACGGTTGATTTTNAGATATCATCTTATGAAGTCGTTCATGTTACGTGAAGCAATCACCTCTTTTCATTCGTCAAATCGTACCTCATGAGCTTTTTATGGAAACGGTCCCTCAGGTGCAGGTAATAGTTCATGTCATCCTGATCCTTGCATACGATTGCACTCTCCCAGGCATGGGAGCATTTCTTCGGCAGCCTTGTAAGGTATTCAGGGAACGACGGTTGATTTTCGAGAACCTCGCAAACGGGAACAAACAACTCAATGGTATGTTTAAAAACAAAAATGGAGAATTCGTACATTTCGTTAGCATTGCTGCAGCACTGATACGATAACAACCAGTCTACTTTAGCAAAATAGTTGTTGGTTAATTGATTAGGCAGTAGTCCGCTTTTGTGAATTTCTTGAGGAAAGTCGGCGAGACAGAATGCTTAGCGAGCCGTGTTGTTGTCAGAAAAGTGTTTTCGAAATGTCACCAGATCCTAGCGTTGGGTTTGTTAGCAGGTCATGAACTAAGTCCGACTTGTTACAAAGCAAAAGGTGCAACACGTGGTTACTACGAGATGGTTCAGTAACCGAATGCTGCAAACTGTAGCTTTGCACAACTGCGGAATGTCAGCAAGGCCACCAGAGTTGAAATACACATCACAATGCCAGGTAACCTCAGGCAGGTTAAAGTCGCCCCACGCTAATGGTATATGTTGGCAGGTACAGAGGTCAGTTACAGCTTTGAAAAGCTGCCGAGTTGATGCATGAGAACAAGTCGGAGCTTTGTAAACCACTTTGCAATCCTACAGAATTCGGACTAAAGTGAAGTCAGAACGCATAATTTTACGGGAGTCAATGTTAGTTTCCTTTAATATGATTTTCAAGTGCGGGCTTAAGCCACGTATCGGTAAGGGTGACGAAATCAAAGCATCTATTGATTAGGTGGAGTACCAACGAATCAATATTCTCTGGAAGCGACCTTATGTTAGACAACAAACACTTGCAACTACTGACCCAAAACCAAGGAGGTACTGAACATTTGAAGAACTACCAGGAGACGTCCTAACATCAGCACGCTCATAAGAATCATTGAAACCAGATTGCGGAGAAGTATCAGAAGTGACGGGTGCAGTGGAACGAGTAGGCTTCGCCCTAGACACTAAAAGCGCGAAGCCTGTCCCTCTCTGCCTGCGGAAGGGAGGAGCTTATGTACATACCCCTAAAAGGGGAAGCCGTAAGATTAAGGGCACGGCGCAAAACCTCCTTTTTCAACTGAGAGCTTGGGAGAATTACCTTTAATAGTCTAGAACTGTAGCGTTTCCCCATACGGTAACTAGGGATAGGATCACATTCCACATGGAAATCGTTCAACAGCATCCTTGTACAATTGAAATCATGAGCAAGACGATCAGAAGGAGGTGAATTAGGAGATTCGGGCACACCAATTATCACCAAAGAACGCAAAAGTTCCCTAGAATCGCAGCAACTAGTATCGGAGCTCTTTACAAGTGATGACATCTGAGTTTGAAGATAAGGAGTCTCAAGTGGAGCCTGGGTTTGGGGAGTCTGAGATAGAGATTAGCAGAGAGAGTCATTCTTTTTACGGAAACTTAAACTGCTTGAGTCAACACATTGTTCTCACTAGACGAAAAATCAAGCCTTTTTTGACCTCCAACAGGTACTAGATAATCAGTTTCATATATGACGGTGCGGAGTCGCCGGCCACGAGTTGATCAATAGCGGTCACCAGTGCGCGCTCCTGCTCAGAGGCTTGAGGGGATCCGAAGTTTACAAGGCCACGTTTACGACCCTTAAATTTTTAAGCCACAGAAAGAATAGAACTCATAGTGGCATTCTAATGGCAAGATCTAGGACGGAAGCTAAGCGAAAAAAGCACTTCCTGCCACAAGGAAGCCAGCACAATAGACGGAGTGTATCGACCGGAGCGTTGATCTGAGCCGTCGATACTATCGATCCACAACGAACAATTTACTTGATTCGGCGGCAATGAACAGCAATTTCTAAGTCCCCTGCCGTAAGGGAAATAGGATAGTATGATCTTCCTTTCACAGACCAGAGGACAAGCAGGAACAGTTGGGAAGATAGAGCAGAATGCAGCAGAATAAACGAGTGACAGTAAAACAGGGTGGAAACACAAGAGTACAGGAATACGCCACCGCTCGCTGCCACAGCCAATGACCAATGCCAGTGAGTGCAGCGCACTCAGAGTATAAGAACTGGTAACCTACCAACAGAGTAGGTATTGAAAAAAAAGATTGATCAACTCAAATGGCAGGGTCAAATGGAGTAGAACACGAGCATGTGTGGGTCTCACATCATTGATCCATCAAATACAGTACCTTCCGAGAACTTTGTTGTTGTCGTCTAGAAGTGAATGCGTAGCGGGGGTACCAATTAGTGTTCTAAGACCTTTTTAAAACCTGCTGCTAAGATGTTAAATAAGTTCTTATCAACTTACGTTTCGGCGTAATCGCCTTCTTCAGAGCCTGGAAACCTGTGAATTATCATTATCCATCCTTCATTCAACAAATAAACTTCAGAAAACCGGTTCCCTAGACTAAATGTCTCCAAACGGATATGATAACCCTAAACATGTTTAACCCACCACTTTTAAAAAAGTCTCATAACATTAGTGCAAAACTATGCCAAGATTCATCGAGAGTCGAACATGGATGCTTATGAAAGGTACCAATTAGTTATTTTTCCTCATAACACTGATCTCAGCGTTTCCATCGTTAGACATAAAGGGATATTAGAAAGCGTAAAGTCCCTATCATTCTCTCTCATGAATTCAGAAGTTTCTCTACTTCTGCTATCTGAGGCCCCAGTTTTTAGACAATTCACGTCTCTCTGGAACCTCGATAAATCCTATCTAAATCCTATCTGGCTGTCATGTCTACAACTGCGACGTTTTAGGGGTCATGTGATGATACTCGAAGGACTGTTAATGTTCCTCGGAAATGAAGTGAATCGACCAAATGCCGATGGCGATATGCCGATGCATCTTGCTGCTCGCGGACAACATGCTGCCTGTCTTGACAGGCTCCTCAACACTAATCATTTGCACAGTAATATTCAGGTACGAGATGGGTAAGAAAAAATCCTAGAAAAATTACACAGCACAACATATGCACTTCAAACGTGATCCGCCATGAACACTCAAAAACATTCGTAGTCCGAACGGAGCTTAAGTTTCTATACGTTCAGAATGCGTCTGGTGACAGCCCTATGCACATTGTGTGTGGACTTCCTGAATCACCAACGAAAATCGCTATGGTTGGACGATTGCTGGCCAATGCTCGGATGAACCTTCACCTTTATAACGAAGACGAACTGACACCAGTTCATATAGCAATTTCGAAAGACTACCACAATTAAGTTTCATGTTGATCATTCGAAAAAGAGGTTTCACGGGCAACGTATTTCAGAACGATGGAATTGATCCTGCAGTCAAGGCCGCAGCAGTTGAATGCTGATACGGGTAATGGCTTCCCGCCATTGCTCTTGGCAGCATTCTATGGTCGCAGAAAATGCACCGAAGCTCTAATCGAAGTGAATTTGAATTGCCAACGTCTGAAATATCTCATATAATACTAGCTCAGCAAACGGTCTATCATTTCACATCATTTATTCAATGATTACTCTTTTATTTAGTTGAACGCAGACGTCAACCGATATTCAAAATTGGGCCGCACTGCCTTGCACTTGGCGTTGGAAACGTGGCATGGAGCGGTCGACAAAGACATGGATCGTCTTGCATGCGTACAGGCAAGCGCTTGTTCTAGGCAGATTTTCAAGGCTCACGACGGACTCAGTGCTCACTAATCAAAGTGTCTCGTCCAGAGAAGCATAACCTGTAGGGAACGCATGACTTAAAGGTACATTTCGGGGTAGAAACGGTTGCGGATATGTGTTTTGGTGGGGATGCATGATCCCTAGGAAAGGCTTACGAAGCATTATCGGCTCGAAAGCAGCAGAAGAGGGCAAAAAGGTTCAAATTTGGTTTAGCCGCCGACTAGCTCCTTGATACCATAAATGAACGTTTTCAGCAACCTTGTAGGGGCTGATATCATTCGATATGGAGTTTGTTGTTAAAAAAATTGGACGATATAGGCTAGTAGCGCCAATGATGAATCATTGCTGCCACTTCAAGAATGAGTAGAGAATACGTATTACTCACTTCGATCACATTAACCCAATCGCAAAGCAGTTTTGCAAGTGTCGCGTGCGACAATAGCTTGACCTAAGGTCCTTCTCTTGTTCAAAAGCGCCCAACACCAACTTATCGGTCCGCAGCACGTTCATGCTTTTATTACTTTTCTAGGCTCTGGTGCAAGCCGGTTGCCCACTGAACGTTCAGGACTGCGATGGACAGACCGCAGCTCACCTTCTCATGAGAGAAATGAATCGTATTACAACTGCCTCACGTGATTGCAATGTTGTTGATTTACCGATGTCGATGTTCCACGCCATTCGAGGTTGCACTGACCTTATCAGTATGGTGAGTAGAGCTCAATCAATATTAGATTCTTTCACCTCTGCACGGCAGAAAATTGTGAAGGTTGGACAGCCACATTGACTTGTGTCCCGGCGTTACCAGTTCAGAGTAGCGTAACGGCTCGCTCATCTAGTTGGAGCGAACAAGCTGCTATTCAAGTGTTATTTCCACTTAATTGCAATCGCCTGAATCTCATACTCGTTTCACTAATAATGCCGCACACAAAGGTGTACGAGGATCCGGATAGTGATGTAAGGGACGATCTTGAAGGCAACCCCACGAGGATGGATGTGGATTTGCCCAAAATAGACACTGAGAGGAGGCCTAAAATTGCACTGATCTTGGTGAATCAGTGAATAACCTAAATAGTCGTTGGTAAATATCTCTCTGTATAGTAGATCCATTTCGAAATCTGTATTCGCTCAGAGATGAAGATCGTTTAAACTAAAAGTGACCAGGAAAAAGGGTTCAAAATATTGCGAACAGAGCTGTACAGTTTTAAGCCGTCACTTTGTACTAGTGGCAGGATTCCCAGCATTTCGAGTCTCGTTTACAGGCTTTCTTTAGAACATGTGATTTGACCAATAGAGCGGTGCCGTTTACTAGCCTGTGGATTCTCTGAAAACTTCCTTGAGTGTGTCTCGCGACGTGAACACCTTCATTTTATTGCAGAATCTGCATGACATTGCTAGTCGTGTTCGACCTCATTGGCAGTTTGCTTGTCTGTGCTTCCTTACAGCTAGAGGTGCTGACCTTTCTCTGATGTAAGTATGATGCTCTTGTTATGTTATGTATAAAAATCAAAGGTGAGATCGGTGCTTATAAAGTTAGTCCGTGTCCATTTGGACCTTATGCTAAAATTGTTTGGTTTCCTTATAAAAAAAATATGTGAGCAGATCACCGATGATCTGAGTCAAAAAAAGGGGCTGAAAAGTGTTTGGAAGGGGCACTTCGCTTACCCTACTCCTCAGCATTAGAGAGCAATGAACGAGTGCCTGCCGACATTACATGCCCCTGGTATAACAGGGAATCGGGAATATTTAATAGGTTTTCAAAGTCTCAATCTCAACCGCCTTTTTCACAGTGATCGATTTGGAGTCTCAGTGCTGGACGGATGTTTAGATGAAAGGATTCGAATTTTACTGAGCGACATTGTGGAGAAACGACCAAGGTATGCATTATCTTTACCATTCATATCACGTTATACATGTCTGTTCCTTATCATTATCTATTCTTTTCCCACCATTCACTCCAAAAGACGGTGAGGTGCATTTATTCAACGAGCTCCTCATGTACAGCAGCCGATTTCGAAGGTACAATGAGGGCTCGGACTTTGTTCTACAGTGCTGTATCGTAAGCTATTTTAGGTCCTGTCTACCAATGACGAAGGCCACGTTTGTCGAGTTCGATCCATCAGGAGTTACAATGTGTACGTTCAACTGCGAGGTGAGGCGATGACGACTTTTGCACTTGCGTTTGAGAAGTTGTAGTTTCTTTCAGGATTCTCAAGCAGACGTATGTTTCGTTCCATGCGGTCATAGGGTTGTCTGTAAACAGTGCGCCAGGAGTACACCACTACGAAGATGCCCACTTTGCTATCAGCTCATCGCCAAAGCCATCTCAGGTCAGTTTCCGCTAATTTATTCACCGGGCCTGGGAACCACCTATCGGTTTTAAGGGACATGTAATGCTTGGCGAACAAGGTGGGGCCCATAGCGAATTTTTTTTCCAGATGGTGTTGAAGTGCAAATTGGAGCTGCGATTCCACGAACGGCCGCCGCATCCGAAGAAGAGCAACGACGAATCCTAGCCGAGGAGGAGATCGAACGAATAGCTGCTGCGGCTGCTAAACAAGCCAAGCTGGACGCTGAGCGTGGTAGGTTTATGGGTACTGAGGAACTAAGAAATAGAAGTAGTAACTTTGCTGTGAAAGAAGATGAGGCTTTGCCGTTTTTTTCCTCATCTTGGCGACATGCTTGAGAATGCTTCGTCCCAAATAGTGATTTCCCCAGAAAAGCTACGCGAGCTGGAGGAGTTGCGGGAGAAACTAGCTCAGTTGGAGATGGAGACGTCGTGTACAATCTGCATGGACGCTCGCCCTAGTGTGGGTCTATTTATTTTGATATTGGAGAGGGCACAGTAAAGAAATCCTCGTTTATTCAGATCGTCTTCAACTGTGGTCATACGGCATGTTCAGACTGCACTCCATTGCTAAAGTCATGCCACATTTGTCGTCAAGTGATCACAAAAAAGCAGACACTTTACGCATGATAAGAGCTCCTCCCCTATTTCCTCCGAACGCCTCCTTTCATACCTCAGTAATTGCCTAACTTCCATCCTCTCGATTGTGACTGATCTCTTCGTGATACGAATGCTCAACAGAAATGTATAGAAAAACCATTCTCTTCTCATTTGTTTCAGAGAGTTCCTTATCATTTTGGTGAAAGAGACACATCGTTGGCCAATGCCGGCAGTTGTGTCATCTGACCGCTTCGGAATAAAGGTTCCATGGAGTGATTTAGACGATGAGTGTTTTAAAGACAGCTCTGAGAACTCCAAATGAGTTCACATTTATACATGCATTATGAATTCTATCTAGAATCAATGATTTCAACGATCTCTAGACCTAACATAATCTCAGAATTGACATTCATCTGTGCTCGGACGCAGACCTGATGGTTTACTTGCGTATGAGAACTTTCCATTAAAGGCTTGGTTCGCGATAATTTTGCGGTATCTAGTTTTGGACGAGTGATGGAAGTTATGGTTCAGGGTGGCGCAAAAGTGGCAAAAAATGTGGAAATCTCCGGTTTCAAAGAAGTATAAGGCTTCAACAAAGAAGTAAAATTAGGGTTTGGACGACAATGTGATGACAGAAGATGCATGAAAAGGGTATTCGAGCTATTGCGTGCAGTTGGCTGCAATAAGCTGCCAGCATGCAAGGTGTGGGTCCCGGTGAGAATGGTGCAACCTCTACAGCTTCTACAACACCTAGTAACTCGCCCACTGTGGGTGTGTACACTTGCGAAGCCGGTTCCAGAGCCCTCTTAACGTCCTATTTTGACCGTTTTTCGACACGACAGCATCCTTTAGGCTATCATATGGGTCAAAGATTCATCCAAAGGAGTATCGCAGAAACCGCTTTTATCGCTAAGTGTGTCTTCAGCCTTGAAGAGATACTTCTCTTGGAAAGGATATGGAAGGCTGTCTAGTTCAGGAAACTAATGTGTCCCATTCGGATAACGAGTCTTCTGCTTCCTTCTGCCTTTCACAGTAGACCTCCGAACGATTTTCAATACCCCTCAAATGACTTCCTTCTCTGCTCGTATCCAAGATGTGTTTGTCCGACTGTGTTGAAAATGATTGCACAGTAAACCAATGGAATAAGCTTGGAAGCAGTTCTTACAATTTCATTGAGACTTTCTCTCTTTGATAAAATCAAAGGCATTATACTTTCATTTGTTATCTTATTACAATACAAATAACACAACGTGAAATGACTTTAATCAAACTTGAGGCGAATGACAGACTAACTTCTATCCTTTGTTTCCTTTGTTAGATTTAATCAGATTGGTTGATTAATTAGTTTAAAATCCACAAAAGAACGAAATGTAATTATGGACCAGTAATGAAAATAGTGGAAGACGTTGAACGTTTTTTGAATCAATATGCTGAACTGATTCGCTTTTGATCAGCATTCCTAATGAGGTGCTGTTATAGGTGTTACTGACATGGCTGATATTCTTGGGATGTCAAAAATGAATAATTGGAATTTCAAGCTGATTCGAGAGTTTGACAGGAGTTGTGGCTCATGTATAATCCGGTGTGAGGCTGTTTCATCCAGAGAAAATCAGAGAGGTCGTTGAGGTAGTGGATCTTCTCTCACTGGTCGAATCGAAGAGTCTTCATAACCGTCCTTGGTCCACTCGGCTGCATCTGCACTTGCGAACATGCAGAAAATCACATTCGTCAGAACCAAGATTGCTCCGTGCAAGATCAGTACCGCCGCCCATGTGGCTGCAATTCGTTATTTTTGTATTTCTATGAAAACCACATCATCGATTGTTCAATTCGTGTAATTTGCCAGCTTTTTGTCTGTTCGCCTCAACACAGCTTTCAGGGTCAGGGAGTTATCAAGAGAACCACATTTGGCGAAAAACAGGGCATCGATAAAATTTGGTATGCCAACTCAAAACAATGTTTACATTATGGTTTCAATGCTCTAGTCATTGCTCCTTAAATTAGTCCAATACACAGCACTTTGTATAGTTACGGTGTTTTAGATGGGGGTTAGCCGGGGGACGGTCAAGTCGTGCGTCCGAGGGCGCGCGCATTTGCGCGGCGAAATTCATACCTATTCTGACGACTTTAGCGCCTTTTATTTGGGCCCAATTTTGAAGTACAGTAGAACAGTAGGATCAGCTGACCCTAATTGTCTACCCTATTTCTGTACCTAACAGAAACTCAACCTCCCTTGTTTACACCGATGAGTTCTGATATGGTATCCCAATGTTTATAGTATGTACTACAAAACATGTTGCCTATTTAAACTCTATGTGGTGCATTCTCTTCACTTTTTCGTCACCGATCTTCATCGTGCTCATCGTTCGTCGGTCCAACGACCAATTGCAAGACTGTGTGTTCCAACGGAA